TTGCTACGCGTATGGGTCCTGTACTTTCAGTAGTACGGGCCCATACTACCTTCCACACCTACCCATATTTGTCTCAAGTATCACCACAACACCCTACTAATACAGATAGCGAGTGCTCAATCCTCACCCCTAGAGGAATGCTAAATATCTCATAACTGGCCTCTTGTCCTCACACAACCCATCCATCCATGAAACTTCCACCGACCCCTACAGCACTAGTGTATGCTAGCCATACATAACGCTGGACCCTATAGACTTTTGAATATCCAATCCTACCATATACCCTAATCAATAAGAACAGAACATAAGGCCAGATCAAACATTCTCAGGCTATAAGATCTTAATTATATACAGCTGTGATGCATACACAAGACAACTACAGTAATGATGTCAATTTCACATAAGGGAAACCCTAGGCTAGCAGGCATCATGTAATCAAACAATTCTATCGTGCAATTCCTGAAGATCCCTAGCCTAGTACTAGCATGTTGTTCTAACATATGACAATATCAAATAACTGTATAGTATTGTGGGGTCTACTTACTGGCTACGGCTGATCGTACACTTTACATCCTCCTTTACTTATTGTGAAAACCATTTTAAAAATCATTTAAAAATCATTTCCTTGGTTTGAGACTGGATTCACATGAGTGTTCCTCCAATTCACTCAAACCAAGGCTCTGATACCAACTTGTCACACCCATAAAATTCAAGCCAATTTAAAACTTTTTAAATCATTTGAAACCATTCAGTTATTACAATTTGTTTTCAAAATAGTTTATACATCAGAGTTCCCAGAAATCATAATCATCAATCGAGGAAGTGTACGGTCACGCCTTCGCCTCCCCGCGGCCATCCGCTGAACCTGAAACAATAAACTGAAACTGTAAGCCCGAAGGCTTAGTGAGTTGCCATCAAAATACCAACCCCATATAACCATAATCATATCATATCAACGATTACAGAACAACATGCATACTGAACCCTCAGCTTGACTGGACCGCCTTGCAAGGCCTACAGTCTACCTAGATCTATCTCGAGCCTTCGGTATGACTGGACCGTCATGCAGGTTCACAGTCTATCCGGACCGCTCGTCGGGTATGTTGGCCTCAACCACACGAAGCAGGACCCCGCCTCAACCCACCCATCAACAATAACCATGTGCTCATAAATAACATATACTGGCATATATATAACAGTCATACCGATCTAACAGATCATAGATCATAGCAACATCCTATAACCAGGATACCGACCTAACCAGGTCACTAACATAGCATCATCCTATATACCAGGATACCAATCTAACAAATCATAATAGCATAGCAACATCCTAAACAGGATACTGACCTAACCGGTCACTAGCATAACATCATCCTATATACCAGGATACCGATCTAACAGAATCATAATAGCATAGCAACATCCTAGCCAGGATACCGACCTAACCGGTCACTAACACAACACCGTCCTAACTACCAGGACACAGATCTAACAAACCCATAACTATATCATGCGAATACCCGAATACAAATCCGATAAAGGGTCGGCCTTGGTGTTGTAGACCCTGTTGATATAGTGAGGATAACTCACCTTGCAACTGCCGAACCGAAACACGAGAACACTGGCCCGAAGCACTGCTCCAAACTCCAACACCTGATGCCATCAATGAACCATAACATAAATATCCAAAATACCATAACACCCCTGAAGGTCAAACAGGTCAAAGTCAAAGTCCTAGCCAAAGTCAACATTCCTGATTGACTCTACTCACCGAGTCAACCCATCAACTCGCCGAGTTCCCAACTTCAGAAACTCTTATATCACAACTCGACTCGCCGAGTCACTCCATGACTCGTCGAGTTTAACGATCTCTGAGTCCCATCATGACCAACTCACTGAGTCACCACTCAACTCACTGATCTGAGTCTTAACCAGAAGAGGTTGGGGTTTTGCGTTCTGACTCGCCGAGTCCAAGAACAGACTCGCCGAGTCCACAGCAATCTTCAACAGACTCGCCCAGTTGTTCCTCCAACTCGTTGAGTTCATGCCTATCTTCAACAGACTCGCCGAGTCCAAGTACAGACTCGCCGATTCTCTTCAGTCCTTTTTTCATGCAGAGACTTTTCGAGTCATGCAGGGGCTCCAAACTGTAGATCCACACTTCTAGGTCATGACTCTCACGTAAAGTTGCAAACTTTACGTGAATACAAGGTGTTATAAGCCCAAATCACTCTAGGGCTAAGGTTAAAGACAATGATGCTTCACCAACAAGCCAAGGGCTGATACTTTGTGAGGTTCTGGACCAAGACAAGTCTAGATCTGAAGTAGCAACCTCAGATCTAGACCCCTAACCCGAATTAGATCCTTACCATGCCAAAATCGCCCCAAATATCATTCTAGAATAGATATAAATGCAATAGAGTCAAGGTAACAGCTTGTTACCTCTAGAATGTGCCCAAGCTGAAGTAGATTCTGGATCTACGCAAATCCGTTGATGCTCTACACTTTGATTTACGAGCCTTCTTTGCTAGAATGTCCTTCCAAAGCTTCCAAGTTCACTCCATAGGCTCACACACGATTCTAGGGTTTTCTGACTCTCAAGGGGTGACAAGGAGGCTGAGGTGAGGACTTAAGGTCCTTTAAATAGGGTGCAAGCCCTGAGATTAGGGTTTTCTCTTCCCAGCACCAACTCGTCGAGTCCAGCTTCCGACTCGGTGAGTTGGTCACTTAATTCGCGACCAAAACCCGATCCGACTCGACGAGTACTTGAACCTACTCGTCGAGTAGCTTCTTCAATGTACACTTTAAGCCCTTATATCATATTTCTGAAATTTGGGATGTTACACTTATAAGGCTTAAAGTTGCCAGCTTTATCAAGCCTTGGCCCTTCCCCATGCCTTAGATCTTTTATATAGCTTAGTCTTGGTGTTTTTAGCTTCATAACACCACGCATGGACGTAAACTTAGCAACTTTATGTGGTAATTTAGTCCTAGGCGACTAGATCTATGGTTTGGAAGCTTTGAACCCGACTAGAAACGACTGAATGGGTTTAGACTATGGGGTACTCGATGAGTTGTTCATACAACTCAGCGAGTTGGGTCGTGGTTCCCCAACCTTTTCTGTTATTGAGCAAACTCGTTGAGTCTAGGAAATGACTCAGCGGGTTGGCCAGGATTCTGGGTTATGGAGATTGAGGGACTCGGCGAGTTCAAGGAGGGACTCGGCGAGTTGTGAGTAAAATGTCCTGATTATGTCATGAGGAGGAACTCGACGAGTTCATGAAAGAACTCGACGAGTTGGATTGAGATTTCAGGGTTTTATGGATCATGGAACTCGACGAGTTAATGGACCAACTCGGCGAGTTGAGTCAACCAGGATGTTGACTTTGACTTTGACCATTAACCAGAGTTGACCCTTAAAGTGGTTATGAGTATGAAAGGGTAATTAAAGGAGATAATTATGTGTAGGAGTTTGAGAGGAGTTGATCCAGGAGCCGAGGACAGTTCAGCTACTACACGACACTCGAGTTGAGTTACCTTCCATTAGGAGTGGGTCAAAGGCACTAATGCCGACCCACTAGTATTGATTATAGTTGAGATGATTGTCTTTGTGATAATTATCTGGTATGCCACCATCTGTTATGCTTTATGTGCTAGTGTGGTATGTTGTTATATGGTAGTGGTAGGGGTGAAATAGTCCCCTGTTACCGGTTGAAAGATACTGAAGGGGAGGCCAACACTCATATATGTTAGGCAGTTACCGGTTGAAAGATATCGAAGGGGAGGCCTTCACCCATATATGCTAGGCAGTTACCTGTTGAAAGATATCGAAGGGGAGGCCAGCACCCAGATAGGCTAGGCATTATGTATTTATATGGTATGGGGAATGTTGGGGGAACTCACTAAACTTTGTGCTTACGGTTTTCAGTTTTTATTTCAGGTCCTTCATCTTCGAAGGGAAAGGAGCCGGTACGGTAGCAGCGCATCACACACACACGATTTTCCGCATATGAGATTCTTGTGATTTATAATCTGATGTTGTTTTATCATGACATGTTTTGACAATTGATACTTTGGTTTTGATATGATTTGATACTATGGTTGTTTTCAGACAAATGAGTTACAATTATTATATTTAAAAATGAAATTTTTGGCCCTAAATTTTGGGATGTTACGGTCATCTTCTTTGTTATGATCCCCAGGCTCTTCATTCCCGCCCTCAGAAAGACAGAGTTAAGCTGGTGACATATCACAACAATAGCTATTTTGGGATTAGACGAATTATCAGAAAGCAGTAAAGATAAAAACAAAGTATAAAACCTGTACCAAGAATCGAGCGGAGGCTCAGGAGGTGGTGTCGATTCTCTTAGTAGAGTGTAATCTACCTTTCCATCCAAAGCGACATCGACTTTCTGTGGATGCAGAAATCGAGTGAGAGAAGTTGCAAACGATTACTAATTCATGTGCCAGCTATTAGAATATCATTGGCCGAAAGGGGCGGTAGTAACCTAGAAAAACAACACTTATTAGGAAGAAGCCGATGAAAGGCCGTGGACACCGACCAGGCGATGAAGCCAAAGAATTTAGGGAGGAAAAGAGTCAAAATAAGGGCGATAACAGACGAAATCTGTCAAAAGAAAAAATATCCATAATAGAGAAAAACAGTGAAGCTTTAAAATGACGAAAAGTAAAGAAAAGCCAAACATGTGTGGCAAAATTCCAAAACCCAAAAGAGAACTGCGTACGGCGCCTCTAAATTTATTGTATATATAATGTCGACCAAAGCTTTAAAAAAAAATTCTATTATTAACATGCGACTGTAATTAGGGTGAAGCTTCGTTAAATTCGTTGACCATAGAATTTTCTATTGGTTGACCGAGGAAAAATAATAAATATCCCATGGACGCTAAAGGATATTATCATCAGAACCATATAATAAAGCATCAAAGTCTCAAATTCGTATTCGATTATCTTAATTTCTTTTGAATTACTGAAAAATGAGTACTCTCATCATCTTCACAATTCTATGTACCAACCTAATCATCAACAGTTTTCCCGCCACAGCTGTTTCAACCATCAAAGTTGGGGACCAACTCAACCGCAATTCTCAGCTTCTTTCCCACGGTAAAGAGTTCGCGTTAGGGTTCTTCGACTATCCATACAAAAACACCATTTATTTAGGAATTTGGAACACCAACGACGGTGAATATCCCACTAAAGTATGGGTAGCCAACCCATCCAAACCGATCGCGTTCAGCTCTAGCAATGGTGTCGTCCTGATGATCCATCCTGAGACCGGAAAATTGATCATTGCCTCCGGTGAAACGACCCTTGTAAATATCTCCGATAATCAATTTACTCCTGGTGATAATTTGACCGCAACTCTTTCATACACTGGTAATTTCCAACTGAAGAAGGAAACTGACAACCAGACTCTGTGGCAGAGTTTTGATCATCCGACGGATGTTCTTCTACCAGGTATGAAGCTCGGGGTAAACTTTAAAACAGGGCAGAGCTGGAACTTAACTTCTTGGTTCAGACCTGATAACCCTGATTTGGGTGCTTTTACTTTGAGCTGGGAACCCACTGACGAAGCATCTCAGAGATTTATGATTCGAAGACGAGGTCAACCCTACTGGACTAGTGGGAATCTAAATAATCAAATTTATCCGAATAAATTTGAATTTGTTACTGTAGATAATGGATACCCGTATAATATTAGTTATGTATACAATAATGAAGAGAGATACTTCAGTATCCATGCAAACGTGCATATCGGTCTAGATGGCAGCATTGGTCGTTATCCTATGTGGTCTTTGAATCCAGAAGGCAGGCTTGTAGCTGGTCAAACCTACTCTGTCTTAACCGGTGAGGAGTTCTGTTATGGGTATGAGACACGTACCGGGTGTGTGGTAGGTCCTCCTTTACCACCGTGTAGGACTGAGAATGATAAATTTAATGAACGAAACGGGGATTTTGCAAACGGCATGGTGAATATGTCGAATGATGCTAATTCAAGCCTAAGTTTTAGTGATTGTATGAAGAGGTGTTGGGATGATTGCAGCTGTCTGGCGATTAACACACAAGAAAACGGAACCAACTGCGTTACATGGCATGGACCCAAATCAACCAAGTTTAAACTAAACCGGGCAGGTACTTCTGAGCGGAAGTATGTGTTAGAGTCTCAACATCCGAGTAAAGGTAAACAAATAGTGATTGATTCGTTGGTGTTTATGGGTTACTATTTATATATTCAATTGCATTAATCTTCTTTGTCTCTCCTAGCTACTGCACACATTTGGGCACCTATTGTTGCTGGGATTTTTCTACTCTCCTTCTGCTTCGGACTATTGTGGTATCTTAAGAAGAGAAATCTTAGACTAAAAGGTATGACGATGTATATTAATGTTTATCTCATATGCGTGTGTTGTTTACAATCACCTTCGTTTCTAATCCATATTTTATTGAAGCTGAGGAGACACAAAGAAGAGATGACCAATATATTATTGGGCTGATGGCTTCAGATAGCTTCAATGATGCAAGTAATCTCGATAGCAGTGGCAGAAAAAAAAGTGAAGTTATGGTGTTCAGCTATGCTTTTATCGTAGCAAGCACAAATGACTTTGCAAGTGAGAATAAACTCGGAGAGGGTGGTTTCGGACCTGTTTATAAGGTACTTTTATCTTTGATATATATGGGTCATGTTTTGAAAAATCTACAATCTGACATAATGAGATATTGTGTCTTTATGAGAAAAGGGGAAACTTAGCGATGGACGGGATATGGCAATTAAAAGGCTTTCAAGAGCATCAGGACAAGGGTTGGTGGAATTCAAGAATGAACTCATACTTATTACCAAACTAAAACATACAAATCTTGTTCGGGTCCTAGGTTGTTGTATTCATGGAGAAGAAAAAATGTTAATTTATGAGTATATGCCCAACAAAAGTTTGGATTTTTTTCTCTTTGGTAATGAAAATTATTAAACTAAATGTCTGTCATGCTTTAAATTTAATAAATTATTGTTTCATTTGACTTTCTGAAAACACTTGAATAGATGAAACAAAAAAGACGCTCCTAGACTGGACGAAACGATGGAACATCATTGAAGGGATTGCTCAAGGCATGCTTTATCTACATAAATACTCAAGAATGCGAGTTATTCATAGAGATCTAAAAGCAAGTAATGTCTTGTTAGATGAAAGTATGAACCCCAAGATTTCTGATTTCGGTATGGCCAGAATTTTCAAACAGCATGAGACTGAAGCAATGACCAACAGGGTGGTGGGAACATAGTAAGAACGCTTTTTCTCTTTCACTTGTCTATGTTGGATATTGTCAAATTGTCAAATTATTTGCTTACATTATAGCATAAGGGCATAAATGCCTAATTGTTGTTAGGCTTCAAAATTGTATGAAACAGGTAATAAGAGGGGATTGTGGAGAAATTGTTATATATGATTTGCAAGTATTAGTGAAATTTGGTTCTTGAATTACTAAATCTATGTGAAACACCTTACGCAGTGGTTACATGGCTCCTGAGTATGCAATGGAAGGGACTTTCTCGGATAAGTCTGATGTTTTCAGCTTCGGAGTCTTAACCCTGGAAATTGTGAGCGGAAGGAGAAATACTAGCTTTTCTCATAGTGATAAGACTGTCAACCTAATTGGATACGTAAGTTTAGTTAAAATTTGAAAATTTTATAGATTTGTTGTATTAGAAAAATAATCCATATAAAGTCAAAGTAAATATAATGATTGAAGACATCGAAATTGAAATGTTTTAGGCATGGGTGTTGTGGCTAGAAGATGACGCACTTGAGCTAGAGGATCCAACGCTAATCAATACTCATGTCATACATCAACTGTTGAGGACTATCCATGTGGCACTTCTCTGCGTTCAAGAAAATGCATCGGATAGACCTGTGATATCGGACGTTTTATCTATGCTTAACAATGACACGATGACACTACCGGTCCCAAATCAACCAGCATTCTTTATTGGTAGAACTGCTTCGAACTCAACTTCAGAGGAAAGGAAGTCGAATGAATGTTCAGTAAATAAGATGACTGTTACGGTAATGGAGGCTCGATAGTATGTCATAGTCGTGAAAGATCTTAATGTCCAAGGGTCATTATAGAATGATATTGCTAATGACATATGATCATATAAGGTCACACCTTATAACAAGTTATTACTAATTGATTATTTTTTAGAGTAATTTTGAATATTAATAAATATCAACACTTGTATTTAATTGGAAAAAGATTATTTCATGAAAGTAATATTTTACCATCTTATATGGTAATTGTTATTTCTAGGAAATAATAATAAAGAGAACAAAAACTAGTAACTATCATATTGTATGATTATTAATGTTGTGTACAAACCTTTTGGACATTTGAGTAACTACTTCGTTTGATTTCAACTACTAGTTATAAGCTTAAATGTAACACACTAAATTTTGTTGACTCGGTTGTACCAAAGCCGTAGCTTCCTCATGGAGGAAGAGTATAAGTGTTGCTTTGCATCTTACTTCCATATGTGTCATGAAAGTCATGATTTCCTTAATGGTTTGGTTTGACTAAGTACACTAGGCATGGTATATAAAGAAAATAATACATGAAAAACAAGCTAGTTTTTTACTAGTGATTCTTCATCTTTTTTTCTCTTAAAACCGAGAGCAATAGGCTCTTAAAACATGAAAAACATATATATATATATATATATATATATATATATATATATATATATATATATATATATATCTTAATAATTATTAAAAGAGAAACCTAAATTCTAAACTGAAGAAATAATGGTCATTGATTGTTTTTCAATCATAACTTTTTCACCTTTGGATCTTTTTTCTGACATCATCATTGTCCATGTCTTTTTTCCCGTCTAAAAAAATTAGTATGCGATTATGATTATCTTGTATCCATATATTTCAAATAAAATTAAAACAATTGCCATAAATGTTGTAACCGCATAAAATCAGGAAAATGATATGGAATTATGGGTTTCCAACTTTCCATATTTTAAATGGCTAAATAACCATTTAAGTTCCTCATATTTAATTTTCTCTCTCAAACCATGAACACAAATGACAAACCCTTTGATTCGTGCTTCCACTGCTACTACTATGCTATTCCAGTGCCCTGCCTCTCCTCTTAACCATGGCTCTGACTCTATCGCCCTAGCTCTCTGTTTCCATATTTTTTGTTTCATGTTTCCGTCGATTTGTGTATAGGTTCTACATTGTCTCTCCATGACGTCGTATCTTCTCCATTCTCTCTGAGAACCAAAAAAGCGAAAAACCCTAGACGTTGTTTTTTTCTTTATTATCTCACAATTGGTAAGTAGTTCTTGCTTTCAATAAACTCATATTTTTCGATTGTTATGATGGAATGCAACAAAGAGAAATCGCATTATTCTTAACTTGGTGTTCCTATGCCATAGTATAACCCCCTGAAAAGCTTAGTAAACCAAATTATGTATTTATAGTCTATTCTAGATCAGGATTTACTTTTTACCCTCAAACTTTCTACAAAGGTCCAGGTGGAACACGCTACTTCTCATAATGAACTATGTTAGAAGTTGCATACTTGATTCTATAGAGGCACACAAAGATTTTATACTGATTGTTACTTTGAAATTAAGGGAAGCAACCCCACCTAGACCCCAACCTTTTCTTTCGCACCTCACTTTTCTCATCTCTGTTAGTCTCCTAGGCTGATCACCATTGAAAAGGAAAATTTGGTTAATTTTGTTTAATTTGGAGCAATAGTCAAATTCTTCCAATTTGACAATTCTATAACTCTTAAGTTTCAATATGGATTTGTTAAATTCGTTTTGAATCTCTGTTTTATTGATCGTCCTACATCTGTGTGGTAGTTGTTTGAACTTATCAACTTTCATTCATTGTTTTTTTGGTAACATCCACACTTACATGTCGAAGTATCCTGTCGATTTTTTGCAAATAATCATGATTCATAAGTTTTCGAATAGAAAAAAATCGACCACTTCACCAAAAGTAAGAGACTACCCTTCTTAACCTCTATTATTCAATCAAATTCCATTCGAAAATGAAATTGGGCGTGATAAATATTTTCAGGTGAATTTGTACGGCAAAAAGATGTGATTCATCTTTTAATATTTTTTTGGACTAATGCAACATAATACTTTTATTTTAAGCATGAAGGGGCAATTTGGTCAAAATCTCTTTTGGTTAACTTTCAAACATTTTTTTATTATTTTTGAATACTTGGAGTTTGAATGGCTTGGTCCAGCAATTGAATCTGTAATTGGATCGATTTCTTCAAGAAATGATATATTGAAATTTTGATTGAAGGGTATTTATGTCAACAAGGGAAAATTAAAGAAATTTTTTTTTGGAAGTTGGTATCTCTTTGATTTGATTTTCATTGGCCAAGGAGGGTTTTTTTTTGTAGATTTGATGGGTTTTTTGGTCCTCGTATTCTTGAATGGATTATCAACGGTAAAAGGAAAAGAAAAATAAGAAAAGGAATTTTAATTAGAAGCGTAGTAAGACCATTTGGAGTTTTTTAATCACAAATCTTGAAGACTATTCTTTCTTAAAAAGCAACAGGTTTGACCCTTGGAATTTGGATGTTAAGAATTGGTTTTTTCTCTCCAACTTAACTAAAGGGCAGTTTGGGAATTATCATATATGGAAGGTGTTCAAATGCAATTATGATATTCATAAAAGTTGGAAATCAAAAGGAACTAATCGGTTTTGATTTAACATTTTTCCTTATAAAATTGCAATGCTTATCGGTTTTATCCCGATTTTCATAAAGTTTTTACCTTGTGAAGTGTTTTTTTTTATTTTTTTGCAAATGGGTTGAATCCCCATTTTCCATGGTTCAAAACGTTCAGGTTCAATTCCGAGAATTTTAGTCGTTTGGTTTTACCCCTTTTTCTAAAAACGATGTAATTGACCGGTTCAATCCCGGAAATTTTAGTTGTCTGTTTTGAAACATTTTTCTATAAAAAAATTATTCAATTCAGTTCAAATCCGAGACATTTTAATAGTTGGTTGGTTTCACCATTTTTTCCTAAAAAAAATATGTATTTGACCGTTTCAACTCAGGTAATTTTAGTTGTTTGGTTTGTAGCCTTTTTCCATAAAAAAATCCATGTAATGAAAACCATTCATAGTTTTTGAAGTAATTTCCCAGTCTTAAACACGTACAACCTATAAATTCTTTAAGCGATTTTAATATATAAATATGTTGTGTAAGGGTTATCGTCGGAATAGAATCAAGTATTCCTTTCAATTCCTTTCATACCTGATACATTTTTTTTTACTTTTTATGATTCCAGGTTCAACAACATCAGCTTCATTATAGGATTCTTCTACCATAATTGGATTTTTCAGGATTCCAACTAAGAGGACATCGTTCCTTGGTTATGGAGGTAACTTAGAGATTAATATACACAATCACATTTTAACTTTTATCAATTTTTTAACCCCTAATTTTCTAGATTTGTGTATTTTCTTAATGATGTTGATAAGGTTACTCATATTGAATTGAATAAGTTACCGGTTAAATGTTGCTAATTCGTCTTATAATCATCTAACCCATATGGACGAGTCTTCAAAGTTTATAAATAAGGAATGAGAAAAAGTTCTTTTAATCATTTTTACATTTGTCTTTGCTGTTGGAGCCCTAAAGGTTATAGTACAACTAGCTCACCCTAGAAATACAAGATGATACAACCATGGTGGGATCGACATGAATCTTTTTGACCGTTTCGTACGAGTTGTCAAAGTTATTGGATATTATTTCATATAGTTTTTAATATGTTTGGCCTTAATTATCATCCATGAAGCATTACTTAATGTATTAATTGCTCTTTTTGATCTTTTACAAGCATAATACTATGTAAATACAGTTGTTACCACCTTTGAGGATCCATATAACATCTTAGAGGCTTAGAGCAATAGCTTTGGTTTTTTCTGTTTTAAACTTGATTTTATTTAATTGTGTCTTAATGGATTGCTACTCTTTTATTTTATTGTCTTTTAATCTATTTCTATTCTATTATTCATTCATATGGATATCAAACATCGATTCTATATTATATTTTTATTTTAATATAGATTTCCATGATCTTATGGATATCAGACATTGATTTAAATAAAACTTTCGGTACAAATCCAGTACAAAGTGTTGAAAAAACTTTTCAGCTTAGAAAAGCATACATGAATTTGTTGGCAAAACCAGAGTCTGAACTTCAGGTTGTTTTTATTAAGCTTTATCAACATATTTTTTTATGATTAATTACATTTAGCATGAGCATGAACAAAAAAATATTAATAACTTGGTGATGATCACAAATATAGGCTTGGTGTATGCTTTTGAATGACAATGTTTCTTTTTAGATGCAATGGCCACAATATGCGGATTTACAAATCAAATGGTATTCTACATCTGAAATTCGGAATTTGATTTTATTAATTTGATAAATTGTTTTTTTAATTACAATGTTCATTATGTTCTCCTAGGTATGCATGTGCGCGTTCTCAATAGACCTGGCTCCCAACTTCTTGGAGCCAATGGCCGTGATGATGACCCACTTGTAAGTTTTAATCAATTTTCTTTTATATCTTATTTATTTATATTATTTTATTCTTTTTACCAATATAAGCCCTATATGTTTTTTTATTTATAATAAAAATGCATATACTTTTACTTATCCATAATGGCAACATACTTCCATTTTGACTGATAATAGCAATATGTAACCCAAATAGCAACATATTTATATTTCTTTACATTATATGATACACTTAAAAATAGGGATAGCTTATATATTTCATCAATTGAACATTTAATTTTCCCTAACGATTTTGAAAAAAAAAATAAAATTGGACTTTACTTATATATTTCTAGATGGAATTTTAGATCTTTTGATTTTTAAAACTGTCATTTTATAATCATTTTTTTAAGGAAAACATCTTTTATTTTCAAGAATAATGCTTTGGCATTTATATGTGGTTTGATTTTAACATTTTGGTTAAGTTCTTTAGCTTGTAGTGGAACAGGACACTGACATCAGAACATGGAAAGGGCTTCTTAAGGCATGCATTTTTTAAATTCTTTAATTCTATCATGTTGAAAATATTTTGAATTTCTTATTAATACCCCACATTCATCTTTGTTTTTTTAGTATTCTGGGTGGGTGTCTGTTGGAGGAAAATGTACGATTAACAACTAATAATTAATGACGTTCTTAGTTTACTTCAAATTAGTTTTAATGTGTTTTATGATATTGTTTTGTACCTTGTATTTATTTCCTAGTTTTCAATGTATTTTTATTAATTGATGTGTTTTATATCTTTTTATAAGGAATGTTATTTGTTATTTATCTACAAAATTTTACTAAGTTAAAAATTATAATCATTCGGTTTTTTTTTCTTTGCAAGCATTATATTTAAGTTTAAAATTCTCAAAAAAAATAATAATAAATAATAATTGTGTACTTGAAAGTAGGATAGTATAATAGACACATCACTAAGGTAGTGTTTGTTTTTTGTCTGCAGATCTGCATGACCTCTTCTGTCTGCGCCGTGCGCCGCGCAGACCACGCGCAGACATTAGTCTTCGCAGACTGTTTGTTTTTTTGAAGACTGCAGACTTAAAAATGTATGCACGTCCTCTTCTTGGCGCAGATGTGGACCAGAGTCTTCTAACATCTTTAGACATCTTTTAGCCTAAAAAAACATATATATCTTTATTTTTTTTAAGGTTTTTTTTTAATTTATATTTTTTCCAACTTTATTAATAATAAACAATTTGAAAAAAAAAATTACAAAACTTAAAAAAAAAAACGTTCGACGATACAAACATGATATTTTTGGACAAATTTATAAATAAAGATTTATTACAATAATAGTCGCTGAAGTTGTTTATATAAATATAAAAAAAAATCATAATATATTCTTATATTTTTTTGCCAAATTTGTAAAACATTATTTAATACAGTATTGTCAATTTCTCAAGAAAATATTTATGGTACGTTTTTAATGGATTTAATTGAAAAAATCAAAGTTTATTTCCATCCATTTATGTATCAAATTCTTTGATCACTAATTATAATGTTTAGTTATAACTTTGCAGCCAAAGTTGTTGATTTTTATCAAATATATACGTTAATTCATACCATTTTTATTTTTATTTTTTATACAATAATACATAAAAGTTGATCTAGATTCATTAATCATTTATAACAAAGTCATAAAAATATTAAAAAATCACTTTGAAGTTTAAAAAAATCAGTTAATTTAGATTTCAGTTTATTTCAGTAGACCACAAGATGTTAAAAAAAACAGTCTTCTTTTTTCAGACTGCAGACGTTTGGTCCACCTCTTCTACTGCAGAGGTCTACAGATATGGTTCGCAGACTGCAGACATTTTGCCTCAGAAAAAACAAACAGCACCTAAATGTATATTTATCCCTATGCATTGTAAGTCTTTGGAACAAATAACATTGTACTTTAGTAAGTCAACTTTTTTTTTCAATCAAACATAAAAATTAATACTATTTAATGTTTTTTCCTAAATGATAAGATAAGGGTGCACCAGGAATGAAAAAATAATGTTTGGTTATTGGTTATGGTAATGTACTTGTAATTGTTATGATGTTAAATAGCTATTGTAATGTATGTTAAGGAATTTATAATAGCTATGATAATGTACTTTTAATTGTTATGTTTCCTATGGTGTAATATATGTATACAATTCTATATTTTTTTATGCCTTCCCCGCGTTTAACGCGGGTCATAATCTAATATATATATATATATATATATATATATAGATATATATATATATATATATATATATATATATATATATATAAGGGATGAGTTATTGTGAGAAGTAAAAAAATAGTGTGAACTTGCGAAGTCATAATCAGTTCATCATGTTTTAGCACCAAACACACAAATCTTCTCTAAATGGTGCGTTTAAGCAATATCTAGTCTAAAAAAAATTAACAATTTTTTTTTATTTTCGAAATTTGCATGTATGCACAATCAGTAGTCATATGGACTGCTGATAAGCACAATCAGTAGTCATATGGACTATTGATAAGCACAATCAGCAGTCATATGGACTGTGGATGTGCACAATCAGCAACCATATGGACTGTTGATGAGTAATCAACACTTCGTATGACTGCTGCTTGTGCTCATTAGCAGTCCATATGACAGTTGATTGTGCACATCAGCAATCATAAAAAAAACCCAAAAAAAAATCGTAAGCCTATATATGGCTTAGACGCACCATTTGGAGAAGATTGCTATTTTTGGTGTTAAAAAATGATGAGCTGATTATGAGTTCGCAAGTTCTCACAAATCTATTGGTTCTCAAAAGAAATTGACTCTCTGTCTCTCTCTCTCTCTCTATATATATAGATATATATATATATAGATATATATATATATATATATATATATATAGATATATATATATATATATATATATATATTGATTCAACCTTGGCTCCGACCACCGGCTCTCGGAGTTTTGACTATCGTCGGAGGAATCTGCAAAGTCACAACAAGCAAGGCCGTCAGTCGTATCCCGGGAAAAGGTCCAGGGAAGACGCTCTAACGGTCAAGTCAGTGGTAGATATATGGGTGAGAGTAATGAGAACTGAGAGAGATCACTTACTTCTCAAGGAGGAACAGAGGCCCTTTTATACTAAGGATCCTCGTTGGTCCGTACAGGGGACAATGACTGCAGTTCCGACAAGATCTGTTACTCTGATTGGCTAATTGTGTCCCTTGTTGTGTCAGGGCCAACGATTGGCTCATTCGATAATTCTCTGGGCATACTCTTTGTCGCCTGGAGCTGTTATATTTGTCCTGTAGCAAAAGTGCTCTTGACGGGGCCAGACCTCTCGTGCGGGCGTCCCACCCTGAGGGAACGCCCGGGCGCTCGAGCTTTGTCGGGGCGTCCAGGTTGGGTCTGGCTAAGCTAACTGGAGGATCCTTTGGCCTGTAGATCCTGCTCCTAGCCCACGCTAGGAGGCACATTACCAAGCCTCCTAGTCCAGTAGCCATAGCGTTTGCTAGCTAGCTATGATGTTCTGGACTTAATTACCATTTACACATGTTGGTAAGTCGTTCGCTCGTCGCTTCAATTTTGGCAATGTGACCGCTTATCCCTTGTGGCGGTTACGTCACTTGTTAGGTTTTTGAAAAGTCCTGCCTCCTATCTTCTTTCTTATATCCTGGAAGAAACTCATTGTCTTTCCCACTTTCTCTCTGAACTTCATCCTTCTTCTCTTCTTCTAGTAATTTCCTGCTATGGCGACTCCGGCTAGTCTTGTCCCTACCACCTATGAGTTTAAGACTCTGCAAGAGATGTATGGTTTGTCCCCGACCGACGGGGTAGAATTCCCGGTTCCCGGCACCGTGATCACTTCTCCTTCGTCCAGGAAAGCTGGCATTTACTTGAAAGCGCTCGATGTTGGTCTTTGTTTACCTTTAACCGACTTTCAGGAGGAGCTCCTCCGTCGTAATGGATACAACGTCAAAATGTTGACCCCTAATGCAACCCATAAAATGGTGGCCTTCGAGATGATATGTCGAGCCAATGGCATCATCTCAGACTTCTTCGTCTTCAAATACTTCTTCCGATTTGGGGCTACTGGTGACAAGTACACCTTTTCCGCTCGTCGTGGGGGTCACAACCTTGTTTCGGACAGTAAGACACCAAAACTGACAGGAGAAATGGTTATGGTTCAATCGAGAGTTACTCGGTCGGGAGAACTACCAGGCGAACAACTTTTCGGACGTTACCTTTAAGTTATTTCCCCAATATTAAGGCACTGCTGATTTCTTGAAAACTCTTCAAGTGGATGCCGACGGGTTATCGAAGGTCTTGCATGCCGGTGTTGGGATGAGTCCGAGCTGGCGTGCCTATGGTGAAATGTCGGTTTTCTTCACTATGTCCAACGGTAGTGTTGTTATTCTCCTGCTCCTTCTCCCCCTTTCTCTATATAATAACCGTTTCACTGGTTGTCACGCTCACAGGTATTGAGTGTTCTGTTTCCATGGATGTCGTCCTATGGAAACAATACAAGGGGAAGTTGGACCATCGTGTGCTGGACCTGCATGAGAC